GGGAGAACAGTCGAGATGGCTCAAATTTCATGCTACTTATAAGTGCCAGGCGCGGATCGTAACAATGGCCTGAGCAAAGCTAGCGTAGGCCTGAAAAGTACGCTTTGGTTTGCGCGATCAAGTTAAACATATCTTTATATGCACGAAGTTTGCTTACAAATCGCGCGAAATCGGGGATCAATTCCTGAGCTAATTCAAACTAGGGAAAATACAAAAGATTAAAGGGTCTCGTCGATAGAGTAAGGACGAAATTGCAGATTTTCGGAGTCACGAAAAAAGACACTGTTACCTTGGGATTGGGTTTCTTTGGGTCCGGCTTCACGCTGGGAATCTGGATGGGCTTAGAGACGACGCTGTAGTTGCGGCCAACTGCTGCGGCAGGAGTGGCTGAACGGCGAGGACCTGCGGCCGGCTGCTCACCGGCCTTCCCCTCCTCCTCCTGATATATAGCCACACGGTAAGCACGTTTGGAGTCCAAATTCGGTGTCGAGTCCAGAACCTCACCAGTCGGACTGAGACCCGTGTAGGGGTCAATGGGCTTTGACAGCGGGTGCTGTAGCGTCACCAAGCAGGACCAGTTTGCATGATTCAGAATACGACATTTCTGGTCGAATCTAAGGCGTTGATCAAAGTGACATGTGTGTCAAGAAGGCCAGAAAACACTCCTTACTTTTTCAATAAATACGGATAAACATGGGACGCGCCGTAGTAAATAAGTCCGAAAATGCGGAAATGAACAGGCACGAGCAGGCAGGCGGCTTCGAATCAAGCCTCTGAACTCCGTGGCTTGAATTTGAAGGAACAAGGCCTGGACCAATAAGAATTGGTGCATAGTGTCAAGCTTATGCGATGAGGGAGCTCCACGTAAATGCAGTTAGACGTTACGTCTAACAATGGATCTAATAGGGATTTTATACGGTCACTACCTGAGCTACTGGGGGAAAAATTTTACTCTTCCCTGGTGATGGACAGTAGCAGTTTTTCTTAATTACGTCCACTGTACGGCAGATTACCTAAATCATGAAAATACGAGGATCGAAGTGTGTGGGGGCAAATTAACACACATTTGAAGTTGTCACTTTTGTTTATTGACTTGGTTTGAGGCATAAAAAGCCGTTTACTAAAAACAAATAGTTAAAATCGGTAAATTCCCCACGCTAATAAACGCCGCCCATCAAAACCTATTTTTCGTGCTCGTTTTTACCATAAAAGGTAATCAATATAAGCCATAGAAGTGTTAACGATATCTTTTCAGAGAGCGGAAAATGTTGTTTTGCGTTCATAAAATCGGGCAATGCAAGTATGATAAATCGCATTTCCAAATTTGTTACGTTTTGTGCAACAATATCAAGTAATAAACTTGCGTGGTTGTAGTTTTTTTATCTAATCGACAATTGCGGCCGTAAACAAGCATATACATATATATGTATATATATGCATATATATATATATATGTAGATCAGAAGGGGTATGCATTCCGAGCGATATAATGAAGAAAAGAAGAGGTTCTTCAGAAAAATCAAGATATACTTGTGACTTTTCGAGCTCGTGACACGTGCTCTTCATCAGACGAAATAAAGGGGAGTGAGGGAGGAGGATTACAGTAGAACAGTTTAAGCGATCAGGAACAGCCAGACCAATGGTGTGTGAAATGAGTCATGGTTTGTACACGAGCGTGTTTGTGG